ATGATTATGTTAAGCTTTACATTTCATATGGAAATTGGACTCCTGCTGTTCACCTCGGCCTGTTACGGGACTCGGGTTACTCATGTCACTCATGTAATGGGAGAGTTCCCATTGGTTGGGGAAGGATAGTAGGAGGGAACTTCCGAGGGAGGTCCAAGTGCCCKGTTCCGGTGACACACGTGGGTCGACCGGCTTGCTAGTAAGACGCACAGGGATCGCTTAGCGGCTTTTTTAAATAAAGCTTTGTTTCCCGATTGAGCAGTTCGTGTTTCTGTGTCTAGCCGGGTTGCTGGCGGCTCGTGCAGCCGGATTGCGGCGGCTCGTGCAGCCGGGTTGCAGCATTTCTAGCATGCGTGCGGCCTGGGTTCGATCCTCAGCACCACATACAAACAAAGATGTTGTGTCTGCCGATAACTAAAAAATAAGTATTACTAAAAATAAAAAAAAAAAAAGAAGTTGAATAATGGGCTGGGGTAGTGGCTCAATGGTAGAGTGCTTGCCTAGCACATGTGAGGCACTGGGTTCAATTCTCAGCACCACATAAATAAATAAAGGTATCGTGTTTATCGACAATTTATAAAAAAAAAAGTTAAATGAGACAAAAATCAAATGGGACTTGTGTGGAACAGAAGAACAATCTAAAAAGGGAGGAATACTTAATTTTTTTAATATTGCAGATTGAATCCTGTTTCAGTCTTAAGGGAAGCGAGCACCATGAGGGATGGCAACCCACAATCTGCCTCCCTAGGATTTCTGGGATCAGTGACCTCTTGCTGCCTTTGCTGAAAGAAACTAAGAGGTTTCATAAGAGGCAGAGCTGAAGACCATCAAGTTTTAGTATTTAGATCAAATACTGTCAGATCAAGTACTGATATCTAGTACTGACTAAATACCAATCATTTAGGAGAAGCAAAGCAGCACATTTTCTTTAAAGGAAACAAAGTCTGGAGGGGAGAATAAAGCTGTAGTTTGTCATTGTTTCCAGCCGTGGTCCATACATGGTTTGATACACTTCAACTTTTCTACTTAGCTGACAGTCAGTATTGCATCTGTGACAAGGGCTGGGGATGGCCCCCTTCTCCAGGCCCCATCTCAGGCCTGCTGTCCAAAGATTAGGGAACATGCCTGATGATGCTCAGGGTTCAGACCTGGAATTAACTTTCCCTGAGGCATAGCAAAAGAAACAGTACTTAAAAAGATAGTATATTTATCTTCTTTACAGTCAATTATTAGAATTGGGGGGTAATGGATTGAATCTGTTTAAAGTGGGGAGAGAGACTAAATATAGGTTTTAAGTGACTTTGGGCAGTGGAGATAAGAGTGGTGAATGTGTAGAGCCAGGGGAAATTTGGATTTTAATTTGGAACCATTCTAGAGATTGCCATGGAGCAAGCCACAGCCGCAGAATGCAGACATGGTAACTGGGGCCTGACTACCATGTAGCCTCTGGTCGCCCTTTTATTGTTCCCTTCTCTTGTGCCAGGCCTGGTGCTATCTCAATTGTTCCCATCAACTTTTCTGTTGGATAAGTACAGATTTTGTTTCTCTAGGCTGTGCTGAAGCAAGAGACAGTAGAAGCTATGGAAAAGTTTGTACGAAAACAATTTTGGCACCATTCTTTTTATGTTATCACTCATTGGGAGGGCAGATCTTAGAAAGAGCTGTTTCCAAGTATCTGTTGCYAAGGCTTACCATTGTGAGAACAGAGTGATCCATTTCATAGAAGTTCAAGGCCTTTCCCCTCCACCTTATATTTTCAATACACAGTTTCCTCTTGGAGAGAGGAGGAAGATCTCAGCTGACCATAAGTGAATTGTTATGCTTCTGTTTCCCTATCAGAGGTGGGGAAAAGATCCCACACCTTGGAAACCTGAGAAAGCTGCAGCCCYCATAAAATACAACTACAGCTGACTGATATACACTCCCACCTATGCCCAAAACCAGGGGTTCAGAGGAGTCACCCAAGAAAGTTTCTTTTTGAAAAAATAATTTCTCAACTTTCTGGAGGTAAAAACTTATAAAGCCCTTACCCCTGGGGCAAGAGTGACATCCTCATGGGCTGAGCAGTCCTTCTAGCTGAGCTATCCTAGAAATAAGGCAATGGCTCCAAATAAGGACTCCCTGTGGATCCCATTGTGGGCAGTGGCTAGAGACCCCTAAGCCCTTAGCAGTGATGTTCTTTAGTGCTCACAGTATGCCTGCCCCAGATGCCTCTGCAATGAATATTAAATCAGTGTCTCCAGGGCTCCAAGAATCTAGCCTAAGGCTGGGCTTATCCAGGCCCCCTTCTTCACACAGCTCTGCCAATTGACCTAAGCTTCTGTTCTTTCTAGGCCCTATTAGGAATTTAGATAGAATGGGTCTGGAGCAGATTAATAATATGCTGCTTCTCAAATCCATCAAGCCATGTCATAGTCCTCAGTTCGAAGTAAAGAAGCTTGGGAATGGCGGCATGACAATTTAGCATGGTTTCCTCTATTAGTTGTAAAGAATTGCATGAAGTAGTGCTTTGTCCTTCCCATTTTGACTTACTATGGGGCTCATCTGGAGAATGTGGCCTGATGACCAATGTTTTTAAGGACCTATTTTTCTGCTTCTCATGGCCTCAACTCAAATCTCAACACCTGGAGGCATTTTTAACTGTTCAACTAGAGAAAAATCAAGGCCTCCAGGGGAAAAAAACGAGGGAGCAAACATGGACAATGGCAGTTTCCTCTCAAAAGAGATTGGTAAAGAAAGAAAAAAATATCAAACCTTAGCACAAAGGATAGCCCATCCTTCCTCTCTCAGTTTAAATGGAACCCTATAACTTCTCTCTTCTCATAGTCTCCCCTTCCACTTGGCTGGTCTCCAAAGTATTACTCCCAAGCCCAACAGAGTGGACAGGTGCATCCAATTGCTAAGACACACATGGATGGGGAGCCCCAGACCTATCTTGGAAGACAACGCAGTGCCTTTGGTTTACCTGGTTTCCCAGGACGTGGTTCAGATCCATTCCTCCTCCAATACCTCCACTCAGGCTGGCAGGGGCCACTCTGCCTCCAACACTTCTCAGGAAGGATGGGGTCAGTGTTGACTGCGCTGTTCACCATCAGTCTCTGGGGAAGGCCCATCTCCAGCTCATTCTCTGACTCTTCACAAGAAGAAGAGGAGGAGGAAGAAACAGCCATGGGAGCATGCACTGCTACTGCCTCCTCTTTAGAACCCTCCAGAGGCAAAAGTTGTGCTGTGGGCATCAGTACTGACTCCAGGAATTCCCTGGCTGTGATCTCTGAAGTCCTAGTTAGAGGCCACCAGGTGGGGTCCATCAAGGAACAGCAGCAGAAGCAGCCCTGGCACAGCAGCCGGCAGCAGGCATGGGGTTGGCAGGGAGGGCACAGGAAAGGAGCATCCAGAGGAGGCAGGTTGGTGGTGCATCCAGTGACTGGCCCCAACAGAGAGCAGCAAGGGGCCCAGAGGAGGGGACTGAGGTCCTCCCTGGTGCAAGGCCAGTGCAGCCTCTCCACAGCCTTCTTCCAGGCAGCAGGGGGCACCCACCTGACCCCACCTTGAGGCACTTTAGCTGTCTTGCCATTCCAGAAGTGAACAGTGATTTCTTCCTTTGATGCTAAATAACAGAAAAAAGCAACATTTTGTTACAATTACCTCTTCTTTGGGTTAGAATTATAATAAGAGTTCTCCCATCCACAAAGGCAAAGCCTCAGCTGAATTCTCTGCTCTGTTGCCTGGATCCTCACACACCCTTCTCTGAGATCCTGTACAAGTGTTGGCCCCTGAGAAATCTGCAGCCCTCATAAAATACAACCTCAGCTGACTGATATACACTCCCACCCATGCCAAAAACCAGAGTTCAGAGGAGTTATTCAAGAAAGCTTCTCTTTGAAAAAATAATTCCTCAACTTTCTGGGGGTAAAAACTTACAAAGCCCTTACCCGTGAGGCAAGAGTGACATCCTCATGGGCCACTGATCACCACTTCCTTATAGACTTGTAGGCTTCAGTCCTAGACCCTAGAGGACCTGGTGAGGGATGAATGGTGACTCCTGGTGTGAATCCAGGATAATCCCACCACACTGTGGTTCAGCTAATGGTAGTTGGGAGTTTTTTCCTTAAAATATGAAAGTTATGAACATGCATCTGTTGCTACCCCCAAGTTAAKCAGCAAGTGATGGCATAAAGATTCTTTTTTTAAAAATATTTTTTAGTTGTAGTTGGATACCATACCTTTATTTTATTTATTTATTTTTATGTGGTGCTGAGAATCGAACCCAGTGCCTCACACATGCTAGGCGAGTACTCTACTGCTGAGCCCCAGCCCCAGCCCCAAGATTCTTTCTTTAATGGCTTTCAGTCTATATGCTCTGGCTTTATCCCCAGCCTGGCTCCTTCTGGGGACTGATGGGTCAGAGAAGCTTCCCTTACCTCTCTGAGGATCTTTTGTCTCCAAGCCTAAGAGAACAGTGCCAGGACCATACCGCTGTCGGTCTGCCTCCCAGGGTGCCAGCACCTTGTCCCCAGGTTGCAGTGAATAGTCTCTGGATGGTGAGAGTTGAATGACATCTTCTTCTAAGACCACACTCTGCTTCTGGGGTGGCAGGTTTGGGCACATTACAAGGGGAACTTCATATTCCACAAGCAGGATCCCCTGCTTTTCTAGCTATGGGAAAGACAACAGAGTAAGATTTCRCATTAGAAAGTACAATAGGGAGCACCCAGATTCCCTACAATGACCCAGAACCAGGCCAAGGTTCTTCCTTACCAAGAGTAAGGACCCTTCAAATAAAGGTCAGGACTGGGGCAGTGCTGCTTAGAAATGAAAGAAGTGGAGACAGGGAGGGTAATGGGACTATTGTTCTCTCTACTTCCTGCAATGGGCAACCCTTATTTATTACCACATTCTGTCTTTCTCTTTCTGTTCTCTTATTTTTCTTTCCTCCAACCAAATATTTGGTCTACAATTCCCAGGAGTAACCTGGGTTCTCTGGACTTTTCTCTCCTTCCAATACTGCCAAATGTGTTCCAGAGTCTAAAACCAACTGGGGATAGTTCATCATTGATTTATGAGGCCCACATGGGCTAGGTGTGATTGTGGCCAGAGGGCAGTCCCCAACCTGCCAGCAGCAGGAGGGAAGGTTTAAGTAAATAAATAGTATACAACAGAAAAAGTACTTCAGCTAATTCAAAATAGAAGTTGGTTTGAGTATTATAAATAATTTTAAACCAATCACAAAACAGGACCTGTATAGTAGCAAAATTCTGCTAATATTTATTTGAATTGATCTACTAGTTGCTTGAAAATAGTAAAATGACTTCTGATTGGAAATCCTATAATTCATATTTTTTGAGAATTCACATTATCCTCCTTTCATCAGTTTACAAAGTCTGACTTTGAAAAGTCCCAAAGCGGTAAGAAGCCCCTGAAGTAAAGTCCAGATCAGGTTCCTAGTGTGCCAGGAATGAGCCTSTGTGTGCAGGAACAGGAACCCACGTGTGCCTAAAGGCATGTTTTTCTCTAGGCAAGTGCTAACAATTCAATACACTGATTTTCCTGAGCAAAGTACTTTAAATGTACATTTTCTTTACTGTTATGTGTTGAATTGTGTTTCCCTTTCTCCAAAATTCATATGTTTAAGTCCAAGCCCCTACCATCACATAATATGCCTTTTTTGGGGAAGGGATATGATTATTGCAGGTTAAAAATTAGTTAAGATGAGGTCATAATGATCATGGAAGGTCCSCAACCAATGTGACTGATGTTCTTATAAAAGAGGGAAATTTGGACAGAAACATGCTCAGGGAAAGCGCCATATGAAGTTGAAGGCTGAGATCAGTGTGATGCAAGCCAAGGAATACCAAAGACTACTAGCAAACACTGAAGCTAGGAGAGGGGCAGGAAACAGATTATTCCTTAGAGCCCCTAGAAAGAACCAAATGCTGCCAATACCTGGACTTCAAGAAATGTGAGACAACTGACTTCTATTATTTAAGCTGCTCAGTTTATGTGCACACAGCTCTAGCAAACTAATATGCTCACTGATACTCTATGTTCACTTCTACAGTCTGGCTATGGGAGACCTGTGCTTATCTAAGAAACTGAACTGCTGGACACACTTAGTAGCTAAGACTAATCAGATAGAATAGGATCACCTAGAGGAGTGTACTAGGGGGATGCTAGGAGTCAGGGACTTGCCTCTGGAGCTGCCTTTATTTGAGCCAGGTAATAAAAGCCATCTGGTTCCCTTCTAGCCAGGACCCAAGTGTCAGTGGCACCTCCAACTCTTCCCAGCCAGCCAGGCCCCTGCCATGCTGGGTCAGCAATGTGGAGATACTGGTGATAAGAAGAATACCTGGAAAAAAGCAAATTTAGGGGGGTGAACAACAACCTCCAAAACATTAAGGACCACTTTTCACAGATTTGAGGAGTGCCAAGGTGTGTGAATTCACATTAGAGTATGTGGAATAGTAATCCATGTGGAATGTGGCTATCTATGACTTCTAGTAAGATAAGGTAAGCTTTTTGTGAAGGGAACCATAATTTTTAAATTGGAAATAGTTACAAGATAACCAAAACATAATTATCCTTGATATATTCAAATTAATTAATGTTTGTTCTGAAACTAAAAAAAAAAAAAAAAAAAAAAAGACCAGAAAAGGGTAAATGAAATGAGGTAAACCCTAAAGCTATATATGAGATTTCAGAATGAGGAAAGGAAGTGTAGACTGCAATGCCAAAGGAGCAAAGTTGTAAAGCACTTAGCATTAGGGGCTCAGAAGGATGAATTAGTGCAAGAGCAGAGGCAGCACAGAGGAGCTGCCTAAGGTGCTGTGGTGTAGAAAAGGAGAGGCCAGTTCTGGGGAATTGGGTGGGCAGGGCCACCTGGTATGGGGGAGCTGTTGCCTGAGGGTTAAGGTTTTTAAAGAAACTGTTTTGTAGACAACATTGAACACAAAGATGCTTAATTTGGACTTAAACAGGATGGTAGAAATAGGTGAATCGAAAAAGGGAGCACTAAAAGTCTGTTTCTAACCCAGGCAGACTAATAATGTTCAGTAGCATGGACTGATCCCTGGAATTTACACAATTTGTAACTGCTATAGGCTGAGGTTGCTTGGCCCCTTTGTAGTCACACTTTAAACAAATGACTGAGGATATTATTCAGAAAAATCCTGAACAGTTGAGGATTTTCAATTGTCTTATAAGCCCCTTAGCTGTGTGCTCAGTTAATCTCTGCACTTCAGTTACTGCTCAGCAGATAAACACGGAAAGTGCCTTGCATATAAGTAGCTCAATGTATGTTAGTGTTTTCCTCCTTCCTCCAACCCAGAGGTGGGACTTCTGGGAGTAAACCTGTTTTTTCCTTCACAAAACCTAACCCTGATGACAATTGAAATTCATATAGGATGAATACTGAGGGGATCTGGGGAGAACCTACATATACCACCTTAGTTGTTGGTTTTAGAAATTCTAAGTCTCATTGCCACGGCAAGTCTTATAGTTGATGGCAAAATGAGTTAGAAACTTTGGAACTGGTCATCGCTGAAAGCCTTCTCTCACAGATGCCAATTGTGAAAGCCACAATTAGAGTAAGAAACCACTAAGGTAAAGCCCAGGGAAGGACAAAAGCCAGGCAACCTGGGTCACTGGTAGTACCACTTAGGCCAGGGTAATATAGACTTATACCCCACACAACAGGCCAAACAGTAAAGAACCCTGTCAGCCTACACAGAAAGCAAGTGCTCTCCTCATGAGACTCCATCTAGAACTAAGAACAAAGGGAAAAGAGAACAACCACCACTCCCTCCAGAGTTGCTGATGCTGGTACCTTGTGAGAGCATGATGCCTGGGGATGTAGGGTGCTCGGAGGGCAAAGGGGCAGGTGAAGGAGAGATCCCAGAATGGAGCAGCACAGTTCCAGCCAGGGGTCTTCAGTGTTGTGGCCACACTGCAGTATTTGGGCAAAGGCATTCCGAGCTGGGTAGAGGATTGCATGGCCTTCCGAGAGACCACCTGGAACAAGCACCAGTGTTACTAGAGCTACAGCCCACAGCCCAGCAAAGGGCACCTGGGCCGGGTGGGGTGGGGGAACTCACCTCCAGATTAGCTATCTCAGGGACAGCTGCWTCCTTGTCCCTCCCTTACCCACAAGACACCCAGTTCTTCTTTGGATCATCTGTCTCAGAAACCTCAGCTCAGGAGACAGGAGGGGTTGTAAGAGCAGGAATTGTGGTTTTAGAGAAACCAGCTTTAAATCCTTAGGCTGGGTGCTCACTTAACCTCGGCAGACACGAAAAGCAGCTGACTATAAGCTCAGTATGTTTTTTCTCTTTTTTCTCCCCAGTGGCAGGGATAAGCCCACTCTTCTCTTCACAAACTCCAACCCTGATGACAAACTACCCCAACCCCAGCCCCAAACTCCCCTCCTAACCTGGCTACCTGTTGGAGCTGAGTTCTCAGGGTCAGAGCCACAGTTGCCACTCAGGACTCAAGATCAAACTTAGCTGCTTCAGCCCACCAGAGCCCTGTTAGAATCCGTCCTGCCCTTTATAGTTTTAACTCCAAAGAGACTTACTCACAGCTTGAAACCCAGCCTCTGCCTCAGTCTCAGATACCTTCTGACAGTTGGGGCCCAGTGCTTTAGCCCAACTGACTCTTGGTTGCCCAGCAGGTTGCCATGGATGCATCTGCAAGGAATGCTGTAGGCCAGTGAGAGCACTGAGCATGTGCAGAGGGATGAAGGAAGGCCATAGGAGACAGGGAAGAGGAAAGAAGGCCTATTCTCAATCTTTGTCTTTGAGGATAGGGAAAAGAGAGGAGGAGTGAAAGACATTGTGACCCCAATTTCCAAAAGCTCGGGCTTCACTATTGCCAGAAAAGTCAGTCACTCACAGTGGGAAGCCCCCATGGATCCAGGGGAGTCATGTGAGGAGGGAGCTGACCCCTAAAGAGACTCAGTGCTTTTGATCTAACTCTACCCTAAACAGAAAGGAGGCTGGGGTGGGGGAAGCCACTGGCTGGCCTAAGGACTCCAAGAATTTTTCAAGGTTTAAAACAAAACAACCAAAGGTGTGGTTATGCTTGAAACAGACAGGACTTTACTGAAGAGCAGAGGTGTGGTAACCATTAGGAATACAGGGAGTGGACACTGGTGACCAAAGGAACAGAAGTCTAGATTCTGCTCTTGTTTGAATATCCAAGGAAGAGGCTGGTATTTTGAGGAATCTCACAGTTACTGTGCACTGATGGTGTTTGGCCCTGTGTTGAGTAGCTAAAAAATATGTAGGGAATTTGTGGATATCTCCCCTATATCCATTCCCTCCTTCCATGGGTTCTTGTTTCCGTCTGCAGATCCCTATACACAGAGAAGTAGACTGTACTCCCAGCTCCAGGTGTGTCAGCACATTCATGTTCCTGGTCACAGGGGTTCATTAGGCATGGTATGTTCCTCTCCAATCAGAAGGGATCTCAAGWCTTTTTTTCTGGGAATCCTGGGTTATAGACTTTTTCTTTCTTCCTGTGTACAAATAAGAAGGCATATGATAGCCTTTTGGGGACACCAAAGCTATTTCCAGGAAAAGTCAGAATAGACCTATAAAAAATAGGTCCTTGGTGACAATGTTGAGTCCTTCAGTTATATGAGCCTATAAAGTCCCTTTCTTGGTTATTCCAACCTAGACTGGGTTTTTTCTTGCTTGTAACCCAAATTATCTTAAGCGATGATTGCACACAACACATAATTTTGTAGTTACAAGAATAACTGTAGCCCAGGCCCATATACTTTAAAGGCTGAATTACTTGGCACATAGAGTCTAAAAAAGACTGATGAAGGCTGCCATTGAGGGGAGTCCTGAATAAGACAATGGAATTTCAATGGTGGAGGGGGAAAGGAGAATAATCTAGATTAGGTAGGAGGCAAGAACAAAGCAAAGAATACACTTGAAAGACTGTGGTTTGCTTTAACTTTCAAGAAATCTTCAATTTTTTTTAAAGTTGTCAATAGACCTTTATATATTTATATGTGGTGCTGAGAATTGAACCCAGTGCCTCACACCTGCTAGGCAAGTGCTCTACCACTGTGCTACAACCCCAGCCCTGTGGTTTGCTTCTGACAGGGTATGTGTCCTGTCCCATTTGGGATGGGAATAGACTGTAATGAGCTTTGAAAAGCAAATGGATACATTTAAACAAGAATTTAAAAAGAAGCCATCAAACAGTTGGAACAACAAAGTAACCTGAAACTCTGTAAGACATCAGAGTGAGGGTAGAACCAGTTGGAAACACAAGCCTATGAGGCCAGAGAAGCCATAGTTAACAAAGATTCCGATGCAAGGTGACAGGATTGGAATAGAAAAATAGTAACAACATATATTTATTGATACCTACCTGAGTTGAGGCTCTTTATAAGGAAAATACAATGAATATGATTGTTATCTATCTACTGAAAATACAGAGATAAGTGCATAATGATAAAAGGAGAGGAACTACAAGAGAAGTTTGTATACAAAATGAAGGTGCAACTAATGGCAGGGAATGGAAGTTGAGAAAGAATTCAGACATGACAGTGAACATGAGTGTAACAGTGTGAGGGAAGTCTTGACTGTGCTTGGTGACAGATGGGACCTGGGAGTTAAGAGGGAAAGAAGCTGGGTTGGGGTTGTGGCTCAGTAGTAGAGCGCTAGTTTGCCTAGCATATGTGAGGTACTGGGTTTGATCCTTAGTACCACATAAAAAGAAATAAAGGTATTGTGTCTATTTACAACTAAAAAATAATAATTTAAAAAAAAAAGAGGGATGGAAGCACTGAAGCTAGCCTTGAGTAGAAATGGAGACATTTTGAAGGCAATCTCTAAGATACAGGCCAGGGACTCTCCTTCCCAAGGGTGAAGGAAAGGCCTGGCAGCTGAAAGTTTTATGGGCTGGAGGATGGTAATACTATGGACAAAACAAGATAAAAATAATAATGATGATAGAAAACAATGGTTATGGATATGTACTCAGTGTTAGGCACAGTTAATCCTCATAATAAACACAGGGGTGTTGCTGTTATTATCCACACACTGCAGATGAAGAACCAAGATCTAGAATGAAAGCAGGAGTGAAATTTGAAACTGAGGCAGTTAGTGACCAGAGTCTGCCTTCTGAAGCTCTGTACTAAGCTGCCTAAGGAAGTCTAAGTGCAGGAAAAAGATAAATCTGAAATCTTTTCAAAGGACAAAAAGTTTTATAGACTACTTTTGTTTTTACCCTGAGATGTTTTCTCATTGTGACTTCTTGTCAACACCAAAAAAATAAGAACCACCAAACATCTGACAAATCAAGGCAGATTCATTGTGACAGGTTAGCACAAAGTAGCTGCAAAATACACCTCTAGCACTGAGTAGTCACTTGTCACTTTTCATGCTTTTGTGAGAGCTTCTGACACCTGAGAAGTGGGCCAAGTGTGTGAGAAGGGCAGGGTGAAAAGTACAGAGGTTCCTGGGAAATCCATTCTGCTCTACTAGAGCTCTTGAAAGAAATGAGCAAAGCATTTTATCAGTCTACATAAGATAATGTATTATTAATACCCAGCATAGGTTAGCATGGGAACTGTATCTGCCCACACAGAAATTACATACAGAAAAAAAACTATTGAAGGATGCTGTCGGAGATCTTATTTTGTGAAATTATCTGTCTCTATTTTGAAATGCTGATTCAAACAATTCTAAAAATAGGGTCAGCATGGTGACTGGTGGTTGCCATTAGGGAGGAGCCTTTCCTGGCATTATTCTTGGTCTCGGGTTTATCAGGGCACAAAAGTGACTGCAGGTAATTAATGTACTTGATTGCGGCTCTAAGGGTTTCCACTTTGCTGAGTCGTTTCTCCAGATACTCCTCTGGCAGATGATGTCGCAGTTGGGCATAGCCTTCGTTGACACACTTTACCCGTTGCCTTTCCCGCTCATTCCGTTTCCGGATAAAGGCTGGCCCATAGGAGTATTCACACCTTCTGTAATTTGGATAAGGCATTGGGAATGTGAAGGAGCAGGGTTCACCATAATTTTCCATGATCAGGGAGTCACTGGAAAAYGGCAGCAATGGCAGCTCTTCAGAGTAAGGAGATGGCACTGGGGCCTCAGGACACAGGTGGAAAGTGACCATGGGGTCCAGATAGAAGGACCTGGGCAGCGGCAAGTGGGCAGAATCAGAGAAGACAGGAAATTTGTCTGGTGAATTAGAGTAGCTTCTATTGTCCGTCATTTTGTCTTTAACCTAGAAATATAACCATGTTTATTATTTGGCCAGATTAAAAACAGAGCAAGGTTTGTATTCTTAGAGATCAGTGTTTTGAAGTCTTCTATTCAGATTACTAGTTTCTAAGCTCATTTGGGAAAGCACTAAAAAAAAAAAAAAAAAAAAAAAGAAAGGAAGAAAAACTAAAAATGAGATAGATGTAGACCTATTCAGGAAGAGGGAATATGCTGGTGTGGGACCCCTTGGAGTATAATACTTTATCCTTGTGCTCCATGGGATGCAGTGGGAGGGGACACAAAATCTGAATATAGCTGCACTTTACTCAATTAAGTTCTGTGTTTTAAATGTGTGAGGGAGTTTCTTTAAAAAAATTTATAGTAAATATTTAAGAACAAATGATTCCTTTCTTATTTTTATTTTGTTTTGCCCTTGGAATATCAGGTATTACTTAAGAAGCCTATGCCTGTGAGGATRCATGATCATTAACTAGTTTGTAATTTTTCCCAACATGTATTTGAATATTGTGGTTTCAGTGTTTCCTAAACTTCAGTTATTTGCACATACCATAGTGATAAAAAGTACATCTGTGTTTCACTTGTACTATTACTTATTTTTTAAAAAAACACTTAACATTTTTTTACTCAATCAGATTTAATTATTTATTGCAGTACTGGAGGATTGAATCCAGGGCCTCCCACATGCAAGGCAAGTACTCTACCACTAAGCTAAATCTTCAGCCCCTCAAAAGGATTTATTTTTACTTTTTTTTT